ATTACAACATGGGCTATTTATAGATGTTGGTTGTAGGGGTGTCAACAGTACTCGAAAATTCGATTTCGAATTCAATATTCAACATAATCGAATCGAATTCGGATAATTCGAATATCTAATCATTCGAATTCGGATATCCTATTCATACCGAATAGTTAATCGGATTCGAATTCGGATATGACCTGATTCGATTCAATAAATATCCGAATTGGACCGATTATTTAATTCTTACATATAATATAAAATATTTTATTTAATTTATATTATAATAATTAAGTTATATAAATAATTTTTGTATTTATATATTTTATATCAATAAAATATTTATTTCATATATTTATTAATTATCTAAAATAAATAATTAATCAAATTTGAATCGAATCAAATATTTGAATACTTGATCGGATTCGAATTCGGATATTAATTTTTAATATCCGTCGGATATCGAATCAAATTCGGATATCGGATTTTCTAATCAGATTCGAATTCGGATATTGCCTGATCCGATTCGAATTCGGATATTGCCTGATCCGATTCGAATTCGATCCATTTACACCCCTAGTTGGTTATATCATCAGTGAATATTGGGCCATCTTGCAAGGTCCCTTGATGTACACCTATTTAATGGGCTTAACTGAGCCATCAAATATTGGTCCTCTTAACCCTATCTCCCTTGTTATTCTTGTCTGTGATGGAAGCCTTGGGTCAGTTGGTCTTGAGAGCAGCTAGGGGTGGTTTATTGGAGGGTTTCACAGTGGGGTAGAAAACATTAGAGATTCCTCTTCTACAGTTTGTTGATGATTCAGCATTCTTCTGCAATGCTTCTAGTGAGCAACTAGAGTATTTGATGGAAACTTTGTGGAGGCATGAAGCAGTCTCAGGGCTGCATCTGAATATCCATAAAAGTGAATTGGTGGCAGTGGGAGAGGGTCAGGAATTGCAAGAATGAGCAAACTGTTGAGGTTTCAAGGAGGGAAAGTTGCTAACCAAGTAATTGGGAATGCCTTTAGGGGCTAAATGCGATGCAAAATCTATTTGGCTGCGTGAAAGTCCAAATATTTATCAAAAGGGAGTAAGCTCACTTCTTAATTAAAGTGCTGTCATCTATTCCGGTCTATTTACTGCCCTTGTACTCAATTCCATCTGGGATGGCAACCTTTATCAAAAGAAGATAAGAGAGTTCTTGTGGAAAGGCTGGAACAACAATAAGAAGAGTAATCTAGTAAACTAGGGAAGGGTCTGCAAGCACAAGAAAAATGGAGGTTTGGGAATCAGAAGATTGAGAGATTTGAATATTGCCCTTTTCGGCAAATGGTTTTAGAGATTTGGTCAGCAAGAGAATAGCATGTGGAGGAGAGTAATTAAAGCAAAATATGGTCTAAGAAGCAGGGGTTGGGATCCAAGTGAAGCAAGTCAGCCATATGGATGCTCGGTATGGAAAGGGGTAGAGAAAAGCTATAGTCATTTCAGCAAGAAATCATTTTTGAAGTGGGGAAAGGAACCAAGGCCCGGTTCTGAAAGGATTGCTCATTGCTGGTGTGGAGGTAATCGTTTGAAAGATAATTTCCCTGAGTCATTTGTAGTAGAAGTGGATAAGGAAGCAAAGGTAACAGATTATTTGCAGTTTTCCAGTGGGAATTGCGTTTGGAATCCCCCATTTCAGAAGAGCCTTAAATGACTGGGAGATTGAACCATTTGCTCGTTTGTTGCAAAAGCTTTGTAATATCCTTATTGACTCTAACAGAGATGACAGAAGAATGTGGCTGGGTGGGGAGGATAAGCAGTTTTCTGTTAGTTCCGTTTATAACAAGCTGACTAGGGAAGAAGATCAGCAGTTCCCTATGAGCCTAATCTGGTGCAAACACATTCCCTTGAAAGTTGCTTTTTTCATCTGGTCTGCCTATTTTAATAAGATCCTAAGCATAATCTCTTGAACAGAGGTGTGGGAATTGATTCTACTCAGTTAATCACTTGTTATTACATTGTAAATTCTCTTATAGCATCTGGGTGAAAGTGTACAGTTTGTTTGCCTTCAAGGGTTGTTGCTTGGCATCAGTGGAGAGCTTCTTGAAAGGGTGGCATCTAAAAGGTCAGAACCAGTGTTTTAAAAGCGCAAGGCGCAAAAAAGGCGCAGGGGTCAATTTGCGCCTAAGGCGCAAAACGAGGCGCGTGCCTTTTTAAGCAAGGCACAAAACTTAAAAAAATACTAAAAATCAAAAAAAGCCAAAAAAATTCAAAAATGTGCAAAAAAAACAAAAAATTATTAAACATAATATTAATAAAAATATACTTAAATTTTAAAATAAATGTTTTAAAAAAACCTATTATCTAAAATTAAAATACATAAACATAACATGTAAAGCATATTCAAATGATAATTTAAAAATAAAATCAAGCATATAAAACATTTTGAAGCATATAAAACATTTTGAAGCATATAAAACCCACAATCTCTTTTTATCTCAATTACATTACTTCAAGTAGCTAATGTGACATATTACATTCCTAATTCTACAAGCCGCTTTTGTGCAACGCCCCTCAAGGCAAGTCCAAACAAGTCCATGTTAGGGTCTTAAATTATTAGTTTTCACACAAAAAAATGATTTTATAGTTTTAATTGCTTTTTAAGAACCCCCTATTTGATAATATTGTTGATTCATTCATCCTAATAAAATATCTACATAAAAAGCAATTAAAACTATAAATCATTAGTTTTTGTGTGAGAACTAAGAATTTAAGACCCTAACATGGACTTGTTTGGGCTTGCCTCGAGGGGCGTGGCGTGGGGGTCCGGGGGCGGAGCAAATGATTCCTAGAGTAGTGTGGTGGACTGACTATATGGCAGGAGAGAAACTCTAGAATCTTAAAGAACAAAGGCAGCCGAGTGGAGGATGTGTGAAAAAAAATTATGGGCAAACTGTTTTTTTGGTCATCAGCTCAGTTTAACTTAAATGGTTCAGATTTCAGTTCCCTTTTTGATCATGTAAATCTTTTTGTAATTGCTCATGGGATAGTGGCTTAGCTTTTTGTATGTTTCTCCCCTTTTTATATCTCTTAATGAAAATCTTACTTTACCTCTTCTCACCTCTCCCCTCCACACTGTCAGTGTTCATGTTCTTCCAAATTTCCTAACCTCTGCAGTTTCAACTTTCTCAAAAAAGATTCCAAAAACAGGAAGGAGGAAGAAAAGGAAAGGGCTTAAAAGATGATCAATATGATAGATGGGAGTTAGAAATTTGTCTCCCACCTGCGTCCAACTTATATTTATAATGGTTGTCTTAGAAGTATTTGAGACAATACTACCCTTAAGTGAATTTTGAATGTTTTACCAAAAAAAAAGTAAATTTTGAATGAATGGACAAAAATGCCCTGCCACCCAACCTTTCCTCTATATACTTATATTTCTAACATTTGAAATCATATAGCTTCACACTGCAGGAATGCCAGGAAGATAAATTTCTACATTTTTTGTAAGAAACACGGGCATATTGTGTCAATACTAGTCAAAAAAAAAAAAACACTTAGAACTTCATAAGGCATAAGAATTCTAAAAGGGCATCTCTTTTCAATTTTATACAATGTTGTTTCTTATCGAACCAAAATGCAAACCAATACCTTGAATGTATTTGGTTAAAGAGGCCTGCATGCAATCTCAGGGATGGCATATCTAATCACTTAATGCAAACATTTACGTGTTAGTTTTCAAGGTGCCTAGTTGAAGCTAGGCAACAGGGGGGTGCCTTCTCACCTACTCACTAGAAGGAAGCCTAGTTAATGGATTTTTTAAATAAAAATCATGAATCCCAGGTTAATTCCCAAGGTTCCTTAGCAACCAGATACCATCTTTCACATGTAATTCTCTATAACCTCCATAAAGAAGGTATTAACTATATATTAAAATATAGAAAATCAACAAATTCATAAAAAGAAAAAAGAAGAAAGAAAATAAAATCCAGAAAATATTAGGACCAAGCCCCTATTTTTATCCTAGGAGAAAAGAAATGGTGGACAAAAACGAAGAAGAACAAGTAGAAGAAGAATGTGTTGATTGGACAAAATTTTTAAGCTCTTCCCTGCTTATTAGCTTAGGTTTTGAAGTTCTTGAGGGTTCAAGACATCATACATCAACATGTGTGTTAATTGAACCCTAACAAATAAGAAAAATAATAAAAAGAAACTAGTGTATAAACCCACAAAATGAATAATTTATTTTAATGATATCAATTTTATTATTATAATCTGAAAAATAAAGAATATACAAAATACTCCAGAGTGCCATGTACAAAATAGCTTGGCATTTAAACAAGGTGACCCTCCATTGGCACCTTATCACCTAAGCATCACCTAGGTGTTACCTTGACAACTGTGATTTACATAGGAAATATGGATTGGCCTGTATCCCAGAAAAATTAAAACTATATGTTTCTGCTTTGTTGAATTTTAACTTCAGAATTCAGATCAGTATTTCCAACATGCTAGATCAATATATAGAAAAGAAATTGCTGCTTCGCTGATATCAAGAAACAATAATAGGAAAGTGAAAACTACAGAGAGAAGAATTTAGATACGACTGATTTTTTGCTGGGACCTTTGGTGATTTAGGTCTTCATATATCATTAGGTTAACTCTGAAGCCAATCACTAGCTCTCTCAATTAGAATATGCATTTTCATGGTTAAGCAATTAAGGAAACAGTATATACATCAAAATGAGTCACCAGAACCTCCTTTATTGAGTTTTACAGGTTCCCAATTAAGTAAAACTATAATTCCAAGGCATTCTTAAGTATGGAAGAACTGAAGAACAGATTAAGACAGCAGCAGAAAACATAATAGCATGTCTTACCATCTCACATAACTGTAAATCTGTAAAGCGTCTATTAGAAGAGGTTTAAATCTCAATGTTGTAATGATAGAGAAAATAAAACATATAACATTAAGGAACTAATAAAATGTCCTTTATCAACATCTTTACCATCAATTCAAAAATTGAGATGTTCACCTGGCCATAACTATTTCCAGTAATTCCTGATCAGATGCATTCTCTGGAAGTTTCTGACCTTTTGTTTGTTCACTGAATGCCAATAACATTCTGCAAACCAGGGAATGAATCGTCTCAGTGAGAAGAACTATCCTATAACATTTGCCAAGACTGTCCAATACAGAGAAATGAGATAATATGGTGCAAAGAATCAATAAAAGGTCAGATTAATCCATGTTTAATTCCATTACTCCAAAGGAAATGTTTTACTCATCAAAAATTTAAAAAACAAAATCGAGGATAGATGACATATGCTTCACCTAGTGAACTGAGCTAACACACCAAGAAAAAATAAATTATTCATAATTCATGGCAACCTATATGATTGAAGAAGTCTCCTGCATATTAGTTTTAAACAGAGTAAATTTGTTTAGCAAAGAAAGAGATATGAAATTATTTAACAATTAAAAGATTTTTCATCCTATCTTTTTTTTTCTTATATCCTCTGTATTGTTCCTTTTTTAGTAGTAACAGACTAATGCAATTTTGTTGCTAAAACAAATTAAAAGATTTTCAACAAGAAAAATGAAAGAAATACAAAGATCAGATACAAGCAAAGAATCAATGAAAACAAAAATAAACCCTTAAGTTGTACACACCAAGGGCATGCATTAGTTGCACACCTCTCAAAAACCACAATAACTCAGCTCAAATAGGATCTGCCAACACCACCAACACAAATATGTCTTCCGTACACTGCAGCCCATGGCTATTGTCACCAAACCAGTTCGAAAGAGAGAAGAGCAAGAGTTTCATGGGTGTCTAAACAGCTTACTCGACCCCCACACCAAAGAGTTTCGGGGGTGTCATTGGAGGACTGAAAGATTAAAAGAAGAAAATACAAAAGAGCCCTTATAGGGGCTGACATAGAAACACAAGAATATGAAAAGAACAAGACTATGTACAACAGGGACTATAGTAATGCAATACATCATGTTTCTTCAAACTCCCCCTCAAACTGATGCTGGAACATAAGCATCAGTTTTCCCACAAGAAACAGATGTCTAGATCTTGTCATGGGCTTTATAAATATATCAGCAATCTGCAAGTCTGAAGCTACATGAGTTAGAGAGATGGAGCCAGCAAGAAACAAGTCTCTAATGAAGTGACAATCCACTTCAATATGCTTAGTCCACTCATGGAACACTGGATTGGATGCAACCTTTATGGCACTGATGTTATCAGCATAGAGAGGAATAGGAATAGGAAGATGGACACCAAGATCAGCAAGGAGAGACTGGAGCCAAACTATCTCACTACAAACAGAAGACATAGCCCTATATTCAGCCTTTGTAGATGACTTTTGCTCCTATTGTGAAGATAACATCTATGCGGGTCCTGCTATCTTTGGCAGCTCATTCAGACTGGCCCCTTTATCAGCTAGATGTGAAAAATGCCTTCTTGAATGGAGAATTACATGACGAGGTTTATATGTCCCTCCCACCAAGGATGTATGGCACAGACATGGAGGGAAAAGTGTGCAAACTGAAGAAGTTTCTCTATGGGCTCAAACAGTCACCTAGAGCCTAGTTTGAAAGGTTTAGGGCTGCTCTTGTTAACTTTGGGTGAACAAAGACTCAGTTTGACCATACCCTCTTTGTGAAGAGGAGAGGCTCATAGGTGGTATATCTTATAGTTTATGTGGATGATATTATAGTGACTGGCACTGATGTGACAGTGATTGATGATCTTAAATCCTTCCTTCATACAGATTTTCAGATCAAAGACCTGGGGGAGTTGAGGTATTTCCTTGGTATTGAAGTGGCTCGGTCTAAGGATGGAATCTTTATTTCTCAATGCAAGTATGTGCTAGACTTGCTCACTGAAACAGGAAAAATGGGTGCAAGACCAGTGGCTACTCCCATTGATATGAGTCACAAGTTTTCTGCCTCTGATGGTGAACTGTTGAAGGATAAAGGAGTATTTCAAAGGTTACAAGGGAAACTGCTATATCTTTCTATGACTAGCCCTAGGTGTTGAGTATGATAAACCACTGATGCTATATTGTGATAATCAGGCCGCCAATAACATTGCCCACAATCCAGTGGAACATGATAGAACTAAACATATTGAAATTGACAGGCATTTCACTAGAGAAAGAGTGGCTTCTAGAGAAGTTTGCATGCCATTCATTACATCTGAAGAACAATTAGCTGGCATTCTTACCAAGGGAATCTCCAAGGCCAAGCTACAACGTGACACTGGCAAGCTGGGCATGATTGACAACTATGCTCAGCTTGAGGGGGAGTGTAGAGAGGATGGACCAAATGGTTCATAGCCCATAGACCACAGCTGTTTTTTTATTTCTTTATGTTTTTGTTCTATTTTTGCTAATGGGCCTTTACTAATGAGCCTGTTAAACCTTTTTTTATTCTTGATTAATTAATTGATCGCCCAATTAAGGGCCTACTTGTAATTTCAGAAAAATAGTAATTATTTCTTAATGAAAAGATTATGGAAGGAGGAGTTGTACGAAGAACTCTTCTCCTCAACCCTCTCACAGCCGAACTATTCTTCTTCTCTCTTCTTCTTCTTCTTCTTTCTGCCAATATCTACTTTTCATTTCACACCTTTTTAATCAGTCCTCTCATTCTTTTGGGACTGTTTTCTTCTAATAGCTCTTAAGTTCAACACTTGCTCCACATCTACATCAAGAAAGATCAGTGTATCATCTGCGAATTGTAAATGGGAAATGCATGGGCCTTCCCTCCCCACCTATAAACCTTCAAACCAACCCTACTGAACCCCTTTCAGTAACAGTAGGTTCAGCACCTCCATAACAAGTACAAACAATAGAGGGGAAATTGGATCCCCTTGTCTCAGCTCCCTAGAGGCTTGGATCCGAGGACAATCCATTTAGTAGCACTAAAAAGGACACAGTTGATATGCACCCAAACATCCACCCCCTCCATTTTTCCACAAAACCCATCAGATTCTGAATTCCTTCCAAGAAAACCCACTACACATGATCATAGGCCTTCTCTATATCAAGCTTGCACACCAAACTCTTAACCTTGAATTGATGCACTCACTAGCCACCATAACTCCATCCAAAATTTGCCTACCTTCTACAAAGGCCATCTGAGAATCTCCCACAACTTCATGAAGCACCTTTTTCAGCCACAAAGACAAGACTTTGATCAATTTATAAGGACTACTTATCAAACTGATTAGCCTAAAATCTCTTATATTCACCGCTCAATTTTTCTTCTGAATTAAAGAAATGAATGTTGCATTAGCTCTTCTTTCCAAGACACTTGTTCTGACAAGATTCCTTGATCATCAGCATGAAGTCTTCCTCCAAAAAATGCCAACAATGTTTTATAAAGTTAAAATTAAAGCCATTGAGTCCTGGAGCTTTATCTCCACTTATCCTTTTTAAAGCCTCCACCTTGGCTCCTCAATCTCCCTCTCCAACCAACCTGCTAACATTACATATCTAAGCTTTTTAGGTACAATTTCTCCCAAAGACATCCAACACCAAGTTCTTCCTGAGTACAGCTTTTTATAGAACTGCACCAACAAACCCTGAATATCCTCTCAGGAGTCTGCCACTTCCTCCACCTGAATCCTTGTAATCAGATCAGATTCCTTCTCCCCCACTGGCAATAGCATGGAAGAAAGATGAAATTTTATCTCCCTATTTTAACCATATTGCCCTTGATTTCTGCCTCCACCCCACCTCCTCTCTTAGGATTAGTTGTTCTAATTCGGATTCCAGTATCTCCCTTTCAAACTTTGCTTCTCTTGTGAAAACTTCTTCCTCTAATTTTGCCAATCTAGCCAACTTATCCAGCAGTTCTTTTTTTCTATCCCCCTCATTACCAAATGCCTTTGGTCTCCTACCTCTGAGTTCCTCCTCATCACCCTGTACCCTGTCGACCCTTCCACTTGCAATCCCCACCATTTTTCCTAGACCCAATCTGCAAATTTTGGTTGATACAACCAAACATTTTCAAACCTGAAGGGCTTCAGTCCTAACATCAAAGCAAAGCTTCTTAGAATTAAAGGCTTATGGTCTGATAATGTGAACTGTTAGCAGCTCCTGAAATATTTCTCACATATGATCTAACCAATCTCCTGTAAATAGAAATCTACCCAACCTTCTCAGAATTGGACACTAGCCATTTGATCGAGTGAACCTTCCAACATCAAAGGGGGGTCAATGATCTCATGATTTCTAATGAAGCCCTCAAAACTCCTCGTCCTCGAGCTCACTCTTTCTTCCCTTCCACCTTTCATCTCACATCTTCTCCTAACAACGTTGAAATCTCCTGCCAAACACCAGGGGTCCCCCCACCTTTGTCTAACTCCTCCCAACACTCCCCACTTCTTCATTGGGTCCATACACATTGGACACTACCCAACTCCACTCTCAAGAAGCCTCTTGCAACCATCCTAACACCAAGAAAGCCCCAACCCATTCTCCTAACTTCTTGAAAGCCCTAGGGTCCCATAAAATAACCAAACCCCCGACCTGCCCTGCTGCATTTGACACCACCCACTCTTTGTTACCCCTTCCCCATATTTTGTTTTTCATTCTAATGTCAAAATCCTCTGATTTAGATTCATTTAATAAAACCACCTCTAGCTTGTGAGTTCTAATCAAATTTCTAGCCAATTCACTTCTCTACTCCTTTAGGCCCCAAAAAATCAAGGATAACATCTTCATTTTGATTTGCCCACGACCTGGCTCCCCTACCTCCAACCACACCTACAAAATATATTTCCTCACCCCCTTCCTCGTCCCAAATTTTTTCCTGATGACTTTTCTCTTCCTTTTTTTTATTTTTTATTCTCTTTTATTTTTATCAAATCGTTTGAAAGCAATTTTTGCAAATTCTTCCCCTCCCCAAAAATGAAGGCCTAACAATTTTCCAATCGCCACCTCCCTTTCCACAAGGCTATCTAAGTCAAGCATCATCAACTGACCCGAGGTCTCCTCTGGTCCCTCTCCACTCCCTTCTCCTTCCCCTCCCTTTTGTCTTTCCCCCACTATATCTTCAGCATGTTCCTCCCCTGTTAGTCCTTGAGTCGAAATAGACACCCTACAAGTATTGTAGACCTTGTTCTATAAGTGATCCTTCGTTTCCTTTTCCTTCTTCTTCCTCTTCCCCCCCCCCAACTCTCTCCACCTCAGCTTCCCTACACTCCTCCCTCCTAAGTCCAAACCTCCTCTTCTCAGTCTTCTCTTGTCTTCTCTCTTCTCTGTCTTCTCTCGTCTGTAGAGATCCTCAGGTTCTTTATCAACGGGGGCCTCGTCTTCCTTACCTTCCTCTTACGTGAAACTCTTCCCCAAAAGGCCAGCTTTGGATGGTGTGATGTTAAGGTCGGGTTCTTTTTGTAGTGCTCAAGTAGAGATATTTACGCTCAAGTCTTCCTGGCCACCCAAATTGGTCCTTGCCACTTGGTTAGTTTCTACCACCAAATGTTCTTTCCGGGGTGAACCAGTGGATCTCGTCTCCTCTTTGACAGCCTAAGGATTCAAAATCCCTTCCCGTGGGTATCTAGTGTTGGAGACCTCTTCAACTCCTCTTCCCCTTCCCATGGTCATAGTCTTGCGGCCATTGTCATACTACATTACTACCCAAACCCAATCCCTCCCTCCATTTTTCTCTTCATCTTATCTTTGTTCCCTCCTTTAGAAACTTTCTTCCCGATTGCACCCCTACCCTTCCGAACTCCTAATCCTTTCTTCTTTAGGCCTCTTGGAATTCTTTCCTTCGAACGGGACCTCTTCACCACAGTTAGGCACCCAACAACCTCACCCGCCTGAGTCCTTTTAGTTCCCTCCCCTTCACCGCTCGCCACTTGTCCATTACTTTCCATATTTAATCATATGCTTCCTTTTTTGCCCCTCCAACTCTCCACCTTCTCACCTTCTTCCTCCTTCAACTCGTCTCCCTCTCCCCCCTGCAGTTGTTTCTTAGAATTCTTTGTTATCTTCCCCCCCACCTTTTCCTCCACTAGGTTATGATTGTGATCATTTTAGAAGGCACTTAGGAATGTATTGTCCTCCCCCTGCACCAGGAGTCTTATTTTGTAGCTCATGTAAATCCAAAATCCCAAACCAACTGCAAACTATCAAATGTGATAAATGGGGAGACAGCTTCCTTTTTGTTCAATGAGAAGGCAAATACTCGGGAATCTATCTTCACATGGCATTTCCCCTATCTATAAGTCTTTCAGAATTTAACACTCCCCCAATGTGAAATCATACCAAGTCCAATTTAGAAAAACATTTAGAATGGCTGAAATTGATTTCCAATGTGAAGCAAGTGAGGTTCTAGGATCCACCCCAGCATCCCTTCCATTGGGTGTTGGGCCATGAATACTTTTAATAACAAAATGCCAGAACATATCAGTTTCTAATGAGAATCTCCACACCACTACCCAAGCAACAAATTATTACTGCCTACCAATCCACCCAAACCGATTTCTATTTTATCAGTAACAATAATTCCTTAAAAAATATAAAGATGATTACAAGATTAGGAAAGAGAAGTTTTCTTAACTCGCCAAAAAACAAATTGCAATACAATTGAGCCCAGAACAATTAATTCCTTCCCACCCCTTTTGCTAATGCATCACCCAAACCCATTCCTCCATTTATCTTCTTTCTACAAACAGTATTCCATGTGATAAGATGGGTTTTCTTAAACTCTCCATGGTCCCGAAAAAAACTTATCACAATTTTCTCCAACAATTTTGCAACCCTTAGGGGAATTGCGGAAGTAAACTGGTAGGTTTGCTAAGCTTGACTTATTTAATCAATGTGATTCTACCCCCCATTGAAAAATAGCTCCTCTTCTAAGGAGCAAGATTTTTGGAGAAAGAAAATAACAAAAGATAATGGTTTACTTCAATTTGAAAATTGCCAAGAAATTGCCATTATAGGACCAGAAGAAAATTGCAAATTGTATTCATAAAAAATTGAAAACCAGATTTGAAATATTTATAACTAAACTAGAAATAATGATTGAAACTCTAGAAAGATTTACACCAAGAAAATCAGTTTGAAATCAATTATGAATTATATAAGGTAAGTACATGCATAGAAGCCAAATTCTTTTTGGATAACTAAAAGAAATATATTCTCATTACATGACAAGCCATTAGCTCCTACATTAACTACAAAAACCTATTAGAAAGAAAATTTAACCTGTGAAGAGAATTTGCAGTTAACTGCACTTCTTCAATCTCCATTACACCTTTGTGTCTCCTCCTGAATGTCTCAAATAGTTCATCTCGAATGGATAAAAGCTGAAGAATGGACACAAAATATGAAAGATTGACAGACAATATAGACAGTTAACTAATCGACACAAACTAAAAATATGAGAGATTGTCAAACAACTAGATATGCTAGTCATCTACTAAACAACCTCAATTTACTTTGTAACACCCATCCCTTAATTTAAGGGCCATTAGATAATGGCTGAAGTGGCTGAACTGAATAACTTATTGCTTTAACTTTTTTCTATTAGTCATCTGTTAAGTTGTTTTCCCTTTTCTGCTGATAAAGATTCAATTAAGGAAGTGATCATGAATATACTGTGGGAAATTTTTCGGTAGATTAAAACTGCCAGAAGCTTGCTCAGTGAGTCACTTTGTCAATGCTGATAAAGACGAGGAGGTTATGAAATGGGCTGGTTCTGAATGGTGTTGCAAGAACTGATTCCAGGTTAGCAAACTCAACACTGGATTTTTTTCTCTTTAATTTTAGAAGTAAAGAGGAAGCACAAGAGGTGCTTTGGTGGGACCATGTGATTAGAACCAAGTTAGATCATTAAAGCTTAGACTGGGAAGATGGAATCCGTTGGCAAAGCAATAAGAAATGTAGGAGTAAGAGGTCTTGTTTGGATCAATGTCTTTGGCATCCCCCTACAAGCATGGTGTATGCAATAGACTCTAGTACAGACCCATAAAAGAACTTGGTCACTGCAAGGATTTTGGTTAAAGTGGAGGAAATACAATTGATCCTTCATCCATGGCACAGAATTTTTCTGGGGAATGATTTGATTTAAGAGTTGTAGTTGAAGGCAGTAAGATGGTTAGACCAATTAATGAATATGTCGGCTTCTGATTGGAGGAAGGAGAAGTTCGTGGTGAGTGAAGGGGAGTTGGAAAGTTTGAAGTAAAAAGGTCAGGAGCCGAAGATTGAAGATGAGGGTATTAGGAATACAATTTGGGTCGGGCTTTGAGGTGAATGATTTAAATGAGCGGCACATGGAGAAGAAGTTTAAAAGGGATAAGTTGAAATTCATGAGTTGGTGGCTCGACCTGAGGTTTTAAAAAGTGGTGACCAGCTTGATCTGAGGATGAAATTGGGGATGGACTAGGCTTTTTAAAAAGCTTTGGGTCATTACTTAACCCAATAGAAACCAAGAGAGTTAAGGAAAAGGAAGTTGTTATTCTAGGATTCAAAAAAGAGACGATGAGTAAGATTAGAGGGAAATACAGAGTTGGAAAGGAAGAAGGTGTTTGAGAGGATAGGATGTGGGTGATTACAAAGTTTGAGAGGAAACTTAAAGGGATATCTAATGATATCAAGCAAAATCCGAAGTTGGAGTAATGGATGTGGGTGCTTATAAAGTTTGAGAGGAAGAAGGTGTCAGAACCAATGGTTGCAACAAGTCTAGTAATGAATGATTCTCAAGGTAAGGAGGCCCAAGGTGAAAAGGCGGTGACTAATTGTGGTCAGGGAACTGCAATGCAGACATGTGATGTGGGTGAGAAGGGAGTCTTCACAGTGAAGGCAGCAAAGCATTCACAACCAAACTGAAGGAGGGTTTAAATGGGATGGACGAGTTGAACAGGTGTCTGGAATTGTTGTTGTTGGGAGTGGGGGGGGGAGAAGAAACATTCAAAGCTCCTAATCCTCGTCATACATCAGTAGATGAATGTTTAGTGGAGGAAGATGTTTTGCAAGATGCTATGTTGGTCAAGAGAAGAGGCATTATCAAGGATTTCGTAGTTTTCAATGTTTGTAAAGAAGTAAGTTATTTGGAAAGATCTAAAGGTATCGAGAGTTCAGGAGATAAGATCAAAGTTTGGTTAGGATTTAGGAAGGGGAGTAGTAGTGAAATGGAGGATATCTATTAGGGGATGGATGAAGACACAACGTCTAAGAAATCAAAGGATGATGCTGAGTTGAAAGAAGTCATGAAGAGGAAGGGAGGTGGGGTTAGTGGCAAGACTATATTGGAGAAAAATTGAGGAGTTTGGTTGTGATGGCATAGGGAGGGTGGACGAAAGTAGTGAGGCTCGATCGTTTTTTTGTTTCCCGGCAGAAAGTTGAGCATCAGGGACACAATGGTGTCATTGAAACTGTAGAAGCAGCTCGCCACTAGCGTTCTCAAATGTGGGAGAGGGAAGGTATGCCTTGACCCTAATGAGGTCAATGAAATCTCCATGGCCAACTCCAGGCAAAATATTAGAAAGATGGTCAAGGATGGTTTTATCATCAGGAAGCCAACCAAGATCCACTCTCGATCTCGGGCCAGTTGAATGGAGGCCAAGAGCAAGGGACATCACCCTGGATATGGTAAACACAAAGGTACTAGGGAGGCAAGGCTCCCCACAAAGGTTTTGTGGATGAAGAGGATGTTTGTTCTAAGGTGATTGCTCCACAAGTATAGTGTTGAGAGATACATTGTATTTGGCTGTATTTGTAATATTGCTAAGTTATGGTGACCTATATGAATTTATGTTAGAAAAAGGGGCTTATGTGTAACTCTGATGTAATTTCAATCTTTTTCTTATTTAAGCAAGTGGTTGTGTGAGATTAGAAAGTGAGGAAGAGAGTAAGAGTGTGAGAGAGAAAGAGAGAAAGAGAGATTTGTATCTCTTCTTCCCATAGTGTATATGTTTCCTCTACTACTCCCATGGATGTAGGCTACCATGTCGAACCACATTAAACCTTGGTGTTTCTCTATTTCTTCTTCTTGTTTCCTCCTTGAGTTACTATTCTATTTTATATTGGTTGACATGGTATCAAAGCTATTTTATGTTGTTTAACATGGTAAAGAGCGGGTGTTTCGGTTGTTGTGAAGGTGTTCCAATTGCTGCAAAGGTGTTCAGGTTGCTATGAAGGTGTTCTAGTTGCTGTGAAGGTATTCCGGTTGTTGTGAAGGTATCCGGTTGTTGTGAAGGTGTTCCATATCTTGTGAAGGTGTTCAAGTTTCTGTGAAAGTGTTCCGGTTGTTGTGAAGGTGTTCCGATCATAGTTGTCAAGGCAGGCGCCTAGGCGACAAGGTGCCCTTGGAGGCTCACCAAGCAGATTTCTATAGTGTGTTATAAAAAACTTTTATATTCTTAACTTTTTGAGCTTTTAATTATAAAACCGACATTTTAAACTAAAATATTCATTTTGTGTGTTTATATACTAATTTCTTTTGATTATCTTCTTATTTGTTAGGGTTTAATCAACACAAGCATTGCTAAATGCCGTATTGAACCCTCAAAGACTTCAAAACTTGAACCAATAAGTAAAGAATAACTTAAAATGTTGTCCAATCAACACATTTTCTTCTTTTTCTTTATTAATTTTGTGTGTTTATACACTAATTTCTTCTTCTTCTTCCACCTTTTCTTTTCTTCTTTTCCTATAATAGAAATAGGGGTTCAGCCCGTATATTTTTTTAATTTTCTTTTCTTTCTTCTTTTTCTTCTCATGAATATGTTGGAATATGTTGATTTTCTATACTTTAAAAAGAAGTTTATACTTGTCTTATGAAAATTATGGATATTTATTAAGGAAATATGATCATGGAACCTAGGAAACTATCCTAGGATACATGTTTTTACTTAAAAAAAAATCCACCACCTGGGCATCAAGGCACCCCTTTGTCACCTAGCCTCACCTTGGCGCCTTGAAAACTATGGTTCCGATTGTTGTGAAGGTGTTCCAGTTGTTGTGAAGAGTTTAATAGTGGTGTGATAAGTGATTTTTGTGAGTAGTGGAGGTGTTCCAATTGCTGCTATTTCATGTTCAATTGAGGTAGTAGTCGACTACTAGGAGCAGGATACTAATAGTAGTCGACTACTACGAAGAGATTTCGTAGTAGTCGACTACTAGCCTCAGGTTGCAGTTGTTTATGCTCCAAGTACTACTGAACCTTGTTGGGTAATAGACTCATGTGCATCTGATCACATGACTAGCTTGCCTTCACTGTTTACTACTTACCATTTGTCTTCTGGTAGGGATAAGGTATCTATTGCTGATGGCTCCTTGGTTCCTATTTC